TACTTTTTAAAAAAAAAATTAAAAGCTTTCTCTTGTTCAATTTTCTATTTAAAACCTATTGTTGTTTTTTTACAATTTTAGTTAATGGAGCAACTACTGTATTAAAATTTTTCATAAATCTTTTATAGAATCTAGTCAATTCATTAGAACTTCTTATTTCACTTACCATCTTAGGTATAGACCATATTTTTATAGTCTTAACATTAGCCTCATCCATCTCAATATCTATGTCACTAACAACATATCTAAAAAAAGCAATCTTTTCCATACAAAAGTCACACTTTTTTAGATTAACATACAAATTTTTCTTTTTAAAAGCATTAAGTACATGTCTTAAATGATTTATATGTTCATCTAATCATTTATTGTAAACAACTACGAACCTACTTATAAATACACACAATACATGATTCATCAATCTTATAAAAGTATTAGGCACATTAGCAAGTCCAAAAAACATGACTAACTATTCATACAAATTATATTTAGTTTTAAAAATAGTTTTTCATTCATTGTCTTCTTTTATTCTAATATGATAATATCTATTTTAAAATTAATTTTGGAAAACAAATAAGATCTATGAAATTCATCAAGCATATAATCTAATATAAGGATATGATGTATATACTTTACTTCTATGTTATTGATTGCTTTATAATCAACTAACATTCTCCAAGTATCATCTTTTTTATGTACTAAAAGTATAAGAATAATACATGGACCCATGCTCTCTCAAATGCATCCTTTCAATATTAACTCCTTCATTTGCCTTTAAAACTTTATTTTCTTAGGATTACTTATATAGGCTTGTCTATTAGGAATAGTTGAACTTGGTACTAAATCAATCTAATGCTCTATATCTTTTTTAGGTGGCAATCCACTTGAAAATTTATAAGAAAATACATATTTAAATGTTTATAACAAAGAAACATAAACACTAGGAACATAAGAATTACGTTTATTAGTTTTATATATGCCTCCTTATTCAAGAGTAAAATCATAGGGATATAGAAAAATAAGCATATATAAAATCACTATCTAACCAAAGTTATGCAAGCACATTAAGTCTTCGGTTAAGGCTATTAGTTAGCTTTTTTATATTAATATTCTTAGTCTAGCCTCCTTTTTGCATGGTTTTTATTTAATTTATATTTCTTTTCATAAAAAATGCTTTCATATTCTACATTATTCTTGTTATGATTTGAGGATATATATATTTATTTAAATAAACTTCACAATCAAGTTTTTCCAAAAAATCATGATTGCATATTTTATTCTTGTACAAAAAAATATTTATCTTTCTAGTTTTTTTGTTAAAAAAAATGTTTTTCTATTCATGCATATTTGGGCTTAATAACAAATTTGTAAAGTTCATTAAAAAAACCAAATGTTTTTCATATTCATACATATTTGAGTTTAATAATGAATTTGTTAAGTCCATTAAGATTTGGCTAAAATTAAAAGATTCATTGGGCCGACATATCCAATAAACTTAAAAACCCAATCCATATCTTATCTTCTTTATATATCCAATATCAATTTAAGAAATGACTTAATTGGCATGTCTTTTTTTTATTGGGATCAATGTCAAAAGAATTACAAATAACTAAAATGACAAGTCTTTATTTTTATAGGAACCAATGTTAAAATCTTACAAATAACAAGTCTGTTTTTTAGAGGACTAGTGATTGTTTTTTCATGATTAACTAAAATGACAAGTCTCTTTCTAAATAGGATCACCATTAAATTTTTCACAAATGATTAGAAATTAAATAAATTAATAAGTTAAAAATAATTAGAATAATTAAAGACAATTAAAAAGATAATTTTAAGAGAAAAACACATAGTAAATGTAATCTTTCATAAGAACATGGTAAGGGTGAGGTTGTTATTTCTTTAGACATTACTAACCCCTTACCTAAGTCTATGAAACTAGTGTTGATTTTATAATTCCTATTTTTTTCTAATTACTAGGTAGAGATTTTTAATTTTCCTTGATATATACATTCCCTCTCAATCTTGAAAAGTCTGAGGCAATGTCACAATGTAACATGTCATGTTGTAACTTAATAGCTACACTAAAGTTAATAGAATTATAGTCTTAAGTCCACCACAATTAAAAAAAATGGATATTTATCCATTTTTCTAGTGATATTGGGAGTATAGAAGCCAATAACTCCTTTTAATATATTGATCGATACATGATGAGTCACTTGTTTAAGGTTAGGTTCTTATTCATTAACATAGTTATCATTCTCTACATCCTCACCTTCATTATTCACTTTACACAAGGAGTATGATTTTTTATTTTTACATTTATGGCCTACCACAAACTTTTCATTGCACAAAAAACACAATCTTTTATCCCTGCTCTCATTTAACTCCTTATTTATCATAGATTTAGTGAGTTTTATGATACGTTTGTATTAGAAATGCGGGCTAGGAGTAGGTAATGGGATGTTTTATGGTTGTTTTATATTACTAGTGGTTAATATAGGTGAAATTTTATAAAGTTTTTTTATATTATTATTGCTAGGTCTAGATTGAACTATTTGGTTGGTGGTTGGTGAAGCAAATTTAGGGTAGTTTTGTAGGATCTTCCATTGGTTAGAGTATGTCTTGTAAACGTGTCGAATTGTAGGCTTGATTTAAGACTTTAAGCTCGAACATCTTAACCAGGTTTTTTTTATTTCCACTTCCAATCCTTTTAAGAAAAACATCAAAGCTTGGTTCTTACCGATTTCTACCATGTTCCATAGTATGTCGAAGTCCTAGTGTAAAACTGTAAATATTCCATTTGGCTAAGATCCTTAAGCTCCTTTAATGGATCCTTTTGACCAACAAACCTATAAAATATTGCTTTTATATATTCACTTCAAGTTACTACTTCACCACCTTTACTTTTCATAAAGTTTTGATGCTAATATAAGGTCATTTATTTTAAATAGTAGGATGCCAACTTAAGCTTTTCCGTTTTAGCAATCTCTTGTATATCAAAGTATTAATTGTATTTGTATAACCACTTATGCACATAATCACCATCAAAATTAGGGAAGTCTTGTTTTGGCTTATGTACCTTGTAAGTAGAGTAACTACCTTCATAGATCTAATATAATCTTGCAGCATAATCCTCCTAATTAAATGTTTAAAAGTCTACTGGTCTTACTATAAGTATGTTGCAACTTCTATAAAAGGGAGATATGCTAGCAAAATAACCTATTAATGAGCTCCCCAAACTTGGCTTTATGAATATACTTGGTAGCTTCCAGTTATTGGACATTTCCTTCTGGTGATTCCATAACTTACTCATATTTATGTGATTTTTCCTTGCTTGCAGACTCGAATGATTCTTCCAACGTTATGAGATCTTAGGACCTGGTGTTTAGAGCTATAGTTTGCGTCCGAATATTAATAGCTTTAATATCACTTATTGCAAGTAGTACTATGATAGAACTAACTTGAAAGTATTCCAAGAGTATTTGCAATACAAAGTTGGATTCCTGGAGTGATGAATGTACTAAGACCAGAGAAAAAGAGGAAGAAGATAAAAATGAGAGAGAGAGAGAGAGAGAATCAAAAAGAGGAAGAAGATAAAGAGAGAGACTCTCTGTAAAATTAATTCATCATTAGAGAGACAATCTCCGTAAAATTAATTCATCATTCTTTCATGTTGTTATATTCCATTTTGTTATAGTTTTGCATACAAATACATCAGCTAAAGCATTCTAGAAAGAAAGCTAAGCTCCTTCTCTTTTATGACACGTGGAATTTATATTACTAAACAATTACATAAAAGAATATGTTGCAAGTGAAACGCCGTGTTTCTTGAAGCTAAAAACGGTGCTTGTTATTAAAAAAGTAAACCAAAAGAACTCTCTTTTTGTTTAGCAAGCCATAGACAATATGTGTTATAAAAAAGGTACAAAAAGTAATTCTCTCCACTTATCAAATCCCAAACCTTTAACAATAAGTTTTCCTCTTTTTCAAATTCAAACTCTTGGCATGCACACACGCGAGAGAAATGATGTACATGTAACTTTATATAGCAAACATTTCTTGTTTATGCCCACACTGGAAATGTCATCAATGTTAAATCAATTGTATAAAAGGTGCAATGATAGCATAATCTAGTTTTAATTTTCCACATCAATTAAAGAAAAATCAAATTATAGAGATAATTTTCAACACTTGAAATTAAACAAGCACATATATACAAATATATGATTTTATTAAATATATGACTAGGTACAATCTCTATCTAAAATATTCTTTCAAAAGAATAAGGCAATTCTCTTATTCTTTCATTAGATTTGATATATGTTAAGTTGATTTATTTGAGAAATCAAGCCAAAATTTGTGCTTTGCAAGAACACGAATTTGGACGAGTATTGTGAAGCTAGATTTGATGATTTAATGTTTTAATACTTTGAAGAGTATATTTGATTTGTTTTCAAAGTATTATTGAAGAACTTTTACAAGGTGTTTAAGCTTGATCCAATAAAACTTCATTCTTTGTAGACTTCAAGCGTAAATGAAGGAAGCTTGAGAACTTTTGACAGAACTTCCTTACTTATAGAGAGAGCTTTCTTGCTTGAAGAGTTTTCTTGAAAAAAATGTGTATCTCTAAGAATCCCTTTTATATATATATAGAGAGAGAGAGGGAGAGACCCTCTATTTATAGAGGTTTATAGAGGCTCCCAGATCCTTTTCAATGTCATATGATAGGATTTTACTAGTTAATCTTTATTAACGAGATCTTGCGTTTATGACAAGACAACTTGAATATTTCATCTCAAGTGTTAATCATTTATTGACCAAGAAATATGTGAAGGTTGATTTATGTTTCATATTATTTATTTTAATTTTATTTTATCCTTTTATATAAAAAAATAAAATAAAAATAACACATGGTAAAATTCAATTGGTAGAAAAATTTTGTTTCTCCACAAATATTCAAAGCTTTTTCAGATTTACACCTCAGTAATCTTCGCAAATCCCCATCAAACTTTTAGAGCAGGAATCTCATTGTTAATGGACACATCAATCAATAAGGCTATAGTGGCAGCATCTGCAGAACATTCCCGATTGACCATTTCAACAAGTTGCATTGCCATTGATGGATACTTGTGTTGGAGAAATCCTTGGATAATGACATTGTAGGTGAGATGCGTAGCTGGCATTTGTCTAAAAATCTTGTGTGCTTCAATCATTAGTCCTTTGCAAAGTGCAGCAATCAATCCGGCGTATGTATAAACATTAGGCAGAAACCCTTCGTCACTGTGTCCATAAAACAGCTCCTTCCCATCTTTAAGCTTCCCACAATTGCACAAACTATCATCAAGGATGGTATAGATTACCAAGTTAGGCTTCACAGTGCTCCTTTTCATTCCTTGAAATAGAGTCAACGCCTCTTCAAGACTCTCATGTTTGCGCGAGTCATCAAACAACACTATTTTTAGGCTTTTTGAAGCACAGAGGCACCTGAAAAATCATTGTGCAGCCGGTGGTCTCCTTGTTAGGACATTCAAGCATTCAAACACACATAAATTTACGTGGTTCGGCAACTTACCTACTCCACGAAGCTACTGGTTTGTATTAATCAAGCTTAGAAACAATACAAACAACAAAACAAGGAGGAAGAGAAAAAAAACTTCTCTACTCAACTCAACTCTCACTCTAGCTCTCTCTGTGTTTCTCTCTGATTCTTCTTATTATCAGCTCTCAATGGCACCCTCTATTTTGTAGCTGATATAGGAGACAATCTTTTTCATTTTATCAATTATGGTGGCCACTGTTTTCTTTGTTTAGGCACCTACTATTGACTCTTGCATTGCAACCACATGGTTGCCAACAACTATTTGTGTCCATACATAACAATCTCCCACTTGGACACAAATGGCGCTAGATCTATCTTTTAATCTTGAAAACCAACTGAAGCTTTACACAGCTTCAGTTTATCAAGAGTAACTCCTTTGGTTAACATGTCAACTGGATTTTTGCTTTCATAGATCTTTTCTAGCAACAATTGCTCATCATCGAGCAATTGTCGGATGAAGTGATATTTGATCTGTATGTGCTT